TTTTTTTTTTTTTTGAGATGGAGTCTCACTTTGTCCCAGGCTGGAGTGCAGAGGTGTGATCTAGACTCACTGCAATCTCCACCTCCCATGTTCAAGCGATTCTCCTGCTTCAGCCTCCCGAGTAGCTGGGATTACAGGTGCCCACCACCATGCTGGACTAATTTTTGTATTTTTAGTAGAGACAGGGTTTTACAACGTTGGTCAGGCTGGTCTCAAACTCCTGACCTCAGGCGATCCACCTGCCTGAGCCTCCCAAAGTGCTAGGATTATAGGCATGAGCCACCTTGCTGGGCTGAACAATTTATTTTCTTTTGGCTATATAACCAGCAATAGAATTGTTAGGTCAAATAGTAGTTCTGTTTAAATTCTTTGGGAAGCTTCTTTCCACAGTGGCTAATTTACATTCTAAGCAATGGTATATAAGCATTCCCTTTTCTTCACACCCTCACCAGCATCTATTTTTTGACTTTTTACTAATAGCCATTCTGACTAGTGTGAGATGGTATTTCATTGTGGTATTGATTTGCATTGCTCTGATTAGTGATGCTGAGCATTTTTTTTTCATGTTTGTTGGCTATTTGTATGTCTTATTTTGAGAAGTGTCTGTTCATGTCTTTTGTCCACTTTTTAATGGGGTTGTTTTTTGTTTATTCAATTGTTTATCTTATAGATTCTGGATATTAGACCTGTCAGATACATACTTTGTGAATATTTTTACATACTTTGTGAATATTTTTTCCTATTCTGTGTCTGTTCACTCTGTAGATCACTTCTTTTCTGAGCAAAAGCTCTTTAACTTGTCAATTTTTGCTTTTGTTGAAATGCTTTTGAGGAATTAGTCATAAATTCTTTCCCAAGGCTGATATTCAGAATGATGTGTGCTAGGTCTTCTTCTAGGATTCTTATAGTCTGAGGTCTTATATTTAAATCTTTAATCCATCTTGAGTTAATTTTTGTATATGATAAAAGGTTTGGGTCCACTTTCATTCTTCCACATATGGGTAGCCAGTTATTCCCGCACCATTTATTAAATAGAAGTCCTTTCCCCATTGTTTTTGTGACTTTGTCAAAGTTCAGGTGATTGTAAGTGTGTGGCTTTATTTCTGGGTTCTCTATTCTGTTCCATTGGTCTATGTGTCTGTTTTTGTACCAGTAGCATGCTGTTTTGGTACTATAGCTTTTTACTAAGTTTCAAGTCAGGTAATGTGATACCTCCAGATTTGTTCTTTTGGCTTAGGATTGCTTTGACTATTCAGGTTCTTTTTTGGTTCCATATGAATTTCAGAATAGTTTTTTCTAATCCTGAGGAAAATGATATTAGTAGCTCATTAAAAATAGTGTTGAATCTGTAGATTGCTTTGGGCACAATGGCTATTTTAACAATTTTGATTCTTCCCATATATGAGCACAGAATGTTTTTCCATTTGTTTGTGTCATCTATGATTTCTTTCATCAGTGTTTTGTAATTCCCCTTAGAGAGATCTTTTACCTCTTTGGTTAGATGTATTCCCAGGTATTTTGTGTGTGTGTGTGTGTGTGTGTGTCTATTGTTAATGGGATTGCATTCTTGATTTTGCTCTCGGTTTGAAAATGACTGATGTATAGAAATGCTATTTTGTACATTTGTACATTGTATTTTATATAATTGATTTAGTACATTGATCTTGCATCCTGAAACTTTACTGAAGTCATTTATCAGTTCCTGGAGCCTTTCCATGGAGTCTTTAGGGTTAAGTATAGAATCATATTGCCAATGAAGAGAGATAGTTTAGCTTCTTTTCTTATTTGGATGCCTTTTATTTTGTTTTCTTGCTTGATTGCTGTTACTAGAATTTCTAGTACTGTGTTGAATAGGAGTGATGAGAGTGGGCATCCATGTCTTGTTCCAGTTCTCACAGGGAAGGCTTCCAGCTTTTGCTCATTCAGTGTGATGTTGGCTGTGGGTTTGTCATAGATGGCTCTTATTATTTTTGAAGTATGTTCCTTCGATGCTTAGTTTGTTGAAGGTTTTTTATCATGGAGGGATGTTAGATTTTATCAAAAGCTTTTTCCATGTCTATTGAGATAATATGGCTTTTGTTTTTAATTCAGTTTATTTGGTGAATAACATTTATTGATTTGCATATGTTGAGCCAGTTTGTATCTTAGGAATGAAGCCTATGTGATTGTGATTAATTAACTTTTAATATGCTGCTGGATTTCGTTTTCCAGTATTTTGTTGAAGATTTTTGTGTCTACATGTCTCAGAGACATTGGACGATAGTTTTCATTATTCATTGTGCCTTTGCCAGGTTTTGTTGTTAGGGTGATGCTGGCTTTGTAGAATAAAATAAGAAAAAGACAATTATGGGGTCTTCAATCACAAGAAGTTATAGAAGGGGGGCTGAGCACAGTGACTCAAGCCTGTAATTCCAGGCACTTTGGGAGGCCAAATTGGGCAGATCACAAGGTTAGGAGTTCAAGACCAGCCTAGCCAACATGGTGAAACCCTGTCTCTAATAAAGAT